AAGGGAAGTTCCACTTTCGGCGGCGTCGTGTCCCATCCCTTCGAACAAAATAAGCACCAATAGCACCATTGCTAAAAGTAAATGACTTTTACCATCAGTGACATAATGTCACATTTTAGGCACTGACAGCATGCGTTAAAAATTACATTTTTACTGACGTTTGTATAGAAAAAATATTTTATTAATAAGAACATTTACTTATTTTATACCTTAGAAGTTGATTAACTAACTTTAACCTTATTTTTTTTAACCTGCATCTTTTGACATTATCTCTCAGCAGAGTAATAAAATCTATAAAACCTATCGTGTGATGTCGTTATTTTACAATTACTCCAGTTTTAAGTACCACATACGAGATGCTATACAAACTTTATTGGTGGCTATTGATGGCTCTCTGGGCACCGAATATTAACTATAAACTGTGCTTTGGGTCTACAGTTAATTTTTCCACGATTTTTCTTTCACTTCAAAAAACACAAAACACACGTAATAACACGAACCAAAATGCAAAGGCAATTAGCAAATATTTGACATAATTTGACACGAATTATAACCTATAAATTGGCAAGAGTTTGACAGGCCTCAAAAATATTAAGTCGAGTTCATACGCATCTGCGTCCGTGCAAAGTTCATCGTTCCGTCACTCCAATAATATTGAAATATGTTCTGTCATTTTTGAAATAAGACAAAAAAACAAACAAGAGACAATGCATGATGGATTTATATATAAAGCCATCCATAATTAACTTAAAAAATATTAGAAACTTTTTTTAGTGAAATAAATGGATTGGTAAAAAATGTCTATACCTATGTGGCGGATTCATCTCTTCAAAAAATCCCCTATGGGTATTTCGCCACTGCAAGAAAATCTATAAAATAAAATAGTTATCTTTTCTAAATACGTTAATCTTCGTCTGCGTTAATTTCAAACGGAAACTACTTGTCAGAAGTTAGGTTTACAGTTATACAAATTTGCCTAACGAACAAAAAAAATACAAAGAGAAAAAATTAAAATAAATTGTCTTTTTTCATGTCGAAATCTTACCTGATTAATAAAACAGACTATACATGATTCCATTATACTATCATACTTCATTATACCACATACATCATTATTATCAATTTTATAACTTCCGATAAAACCTAAGGATAATTTAAAGTTTAAACGGGAGATTTTTCACTTCAATTTAATTTTATAGATGCCAGTTAAATAATGATAGCTAACTTCACAGTTTTACTTGAAGCTTCAAGTATTACTTGAAGCTTAACCCGAACCTTTAAAAATAGCCCTAATTAAAGTACTGTAATGTCCCCATTACACATTTATCTTCCACTTTAGTGTCCCAAATACTAACCGTTATTAGGATCTTGAAAACTAGACGAGACGTCGAGACGAGGTAGGGTAAAATAGTGTAGATGGTTTTAAATACAACCTTAAACGTTTCACAATTTCGAATAGATTTTTGAAAAAATAAGGAATATTCGTGATATCATTCTTTCTGACTCTATTTGTATAGATATAGCAAAATAAATGTCACATTTTACTGTTACCTTTTTTGTTTTACAAGGTGGTGTTATCAGATTTTCAAATCTAAGTTTCTTTTTTGGAATACTTCTACACAAAGTACCGGGGCTCCAGGAACTTGAGGCCCCACAGAGCTCTTATTAACTTTATTTATGATAAAATTTTTATTAAATTAATAATGCATTAAATTCATCGTGATTTTACAAAATGAATCACACGCAAATACACATATATAAATAAATTGGTTATCGTTTCTAAAACAATATACACGGTGAGTCTTAAATAAGTGCAAATATTTTTAGGGGTGGTATATTTCGACTCCAGGAACACATCTATGAGGTTTTTGCGCAAAAAAAAGATGTTGAAAATCGTGCATTTTCTTTTAAATTTTCCTATATATTTAAGGAGACTTTTTAGAACTGCCTATTCACCACAAATTTTTCCTCGTTATAATTTCTTAATCTCTGATATTACCATTATGGTTATGGCACTAAAAGGTATGCAAATACCTTTAAAATTCAGTGGCTCTCATTTTTTTTTAAATAAATCAATTTCTTTTTATTTTCAAAATTGAATAACTCGGTTATTTTGGACTTACTTGAAAACGGTATAGGGAAAATATGTTTCTTTTGTCGAGATCTACCAAACCTGAAAATACTTGTACTTATTTAAGACTCACCCTGTATACATATACTAGCTTATAGCGTGTATTACAGTTAAGCTCATAATATCAAATGCATTCTAGCTGTTAGGTTAGGTGTATGCCTCAATTGTCGATACTTTAATTTGCCTAAAAATGAACGAAGATTCATGAATTTCTTATAAATAATAAAAACATATTTTGAACTATGAATACCTGCCACAATTAATACCTAGTGTATACCGGGTGCGTCTCAAAAGTGGCTCACCCCTATAACTTTTTTATTTTTTTAGTTAAAAGAACGAGTTTTGGTATGTTAGTATACGACATACATAAATTAGGATTGATTGACGTATTCAATTGTTTTCGGTCACTTCCGGTTTCACCGGAAATGATTACAACTTTTGATTTTTAAATAGCACCCTCGGTATTTTTTTACTTTATTTGATAGAAAACGTTACTCTGACTAAAATGACATATCATATGTCAACTTTTGACATTTTCGCATATGGTTTATTTGAAATTATAACTTGCGGTTCATAACGAAAATTTGACTCGAAATACCAAGTGTGTGGTATCAAATTATGCGTAAAAAATGCTTTTTCCAAATATGCTAATGAGCCACCCTCGTTCCACTTGAAAAAATTGAGATATGATTAAAAATACGATTTGAGCATTTTCTAACTGACCAAGACAAAACACTAAAAACATTAGAAGATCAAATCTATTTTTCCAAGGCTCCTTGATGAAGAATTAGTGTTTTTAACATAGCTATGACCCTCTAGATTGAATTTTAAAATACAATTTTTTATTAAACGAGAATGTCAAAAGTTGACATATGATATGTCATTCTATTCAGAATGTCATTTTATATCGAATAAAGTAGAAAAATTCCGAGGGTGCCATTTAAAAATCAAAAGTTGTAGTCATTTCCGGTGAAACAGGAAGTGACTAAAAACAACTGAATACCCCAATCAATCCTAATTAATGTCATATACTAACATACCAATTTTCGTTTTTTATCTGAAAAAATAAAAAAGTTATAGGGGTGAGCCACTTTTGAGACGCACCCGGTATACTTGTTTTAATTTTTATATACAAATACAATTCAGAAATGGAGAATTACAGACATCATAATTACTACATTATTATTTTCTAATCAGTTCAAAACTAATAAAAAAAAGTAATGAATAACTTTAAAATTTAATACACACACTTTCTAATAACATATATATTTTGAAGCTGAAGAAATTTTTTATTGAATAATTATTGTCTATATTTGTCTCATTAGTTCAAAATTATAGGAATTAATTCAGCGTTTCACTGTGGAGTTCTCATTTATACGAGAGCAGTAATACCTGGACAACGATCATTCAGAGATGAGAAGCAGACCCCATGAGTTTAAAGAGACCAGAGCCGTATTTAAAAAGAATTTTATTCTATTGAACTTTAATAATATCAATAGGTTTGTAAAGATAATTAATCAGAAGAACATACTACTTAAAAATAACATAGCATTCTCAATATTAATTTATAGAAGATTTTTTGATAATAAAATTAGTATCACTAGCTATGTACATGTACCTACATAGTTTTTAGAAGCTAATTTTGAAGACTAATACAGTCTCATTTTTCATAGCTTTATGGATTAATCAAATTTACCTTTATTTTAATCGTAGAAACTAAAAATGTAATAATATACAGGGTGTTCTATTTAAAAAAATACAACTTTGATATTTTTTATTTATTTGGGACACTCTGTATCTTGTAAAAATATTTTTAAATTATAGCTCTAATAGTCCTTCAACGAACCCAAAACTTACAATTTGTAAAAATCTAATCGTTTAGCTACAATACTCCGTGTCGTATGTGGTGAACAACCCTGTATAGTATTGGTTATAACTCAAGAAAAAAGATCGTTAGGTTTTAGACCTTATATAGTATTTAGTATTAGTAAGATCTTAAAACTTAGGTAGGAAACTTTGATGTTTCAATACAAAATTTCACATTACTGGCAATTGCCTCGTAGTAGAGCCATCATAAAACAAGAAAGTTTCACATTACAGTCAACAAGAAAAATGTTGAGTTGGATGAAATGGCTAAAAAAAGCTCATCAACACCACCAGTTGGAAAAGAATCCTTTTTTAGAAAGATTTCCTTTTCCTCCCTACACTACGCTTTCCATCGATTTTTCCTTCTATTATGAGATGTATTTCTCCATATTCTGAGTGCCGCATTATGTGTCCAAGGTAGTAAGTGTTTTTGATTTTAATTGTGCCTGTTAAGTGTGCACGAGTTTTCATTCTGTTTAAAACTTCACAGTTGGTTGTTCTGGAGGTCCAACTTATCGTCAGCATCCGACGACGCACCCATATTTCAAAAGCATTAACGCATTTGATGTCTTATTGTTTTAGCGTCCATGTTTCGCATCCATATTGAAGCAGAGGCCATATAGTATAACATTTTAATGTTCTTAGCCACGTTGGTAAAATTATTTTAGGATGGCATAAGAACTTCCGCATGTTGAGGAAACCAGCCTTAGCTATTTCAATCCTTCTACTGATTTCCTTAGAGCGGTTTAGCTGACTGTTTAATTCTCTGATTATACTACGAGTATATGAAGTTGGTAAACTCAAACAGCAGTATCAAAAATCAAAGAAAAGTATTAATAATTTTAATGTCAATAGACATAAAATTTAGCCGTTTGTTCTTCGACATCCGCATAGTTCTAAATCCGTCTCTGCGTCGGTCGTACCGCCAGCAAACCCATACCTAACAACTTTTACGCGCTATGGGACTATCGCTTCGCCGGACTCGTACCGCAACCGCAGACAGCTGTGCGACGGGTAAACACGCCGACCCACAGCCCATTACATCGCGTACCGTCAACTAGAATACGTTAAATTTAAATTCCTAACCTTAAAACCGCTCATTTCGTCCATTTTATCAATAAAAATTTAATTATTTTGGCTCGAAGGACCAAAATTATATTTACAAATCATATTTTGATTTCTATACGCGTCCTTGTTACGTTTCCTATTTACGTAGCTCAGAGAGTATTTGGATTAAACTATATAAACGTAATGTGCAAATAGGGAAGCTTATTAAATCAACTCGATTTAGTTTATTTAGTAACGAAGTGAGCGCGTTATCAGTGATGTGTGTCAATAGGAAACATTTTCGGCGCGTCGTTTTGCTAAATTAGACTCTTAACAACTTAGATTCAAGTGATGTGCGTGTGTGATGGGTAAACCAAAACCGAAAGACCTAGATAAAAGCAAGAAAATGGCCGATGTAGTGACCGAAAGACGGAAAAATGTGACTTTGAAACGCTCGAAATCTGTGAGAGCCTCACTAAGGTTCATCAGTACGAAACTACTGAACAAAAACATCAATAACAATAACATAACTCATACCAAAGATTTACTGAAACTGAACAAAACACCCTCCATGTCTAGTCTGCAAGATTACCAAAAATCCGACCATACAGAAGGGTTCATCGAAAGTTTTTATCCGAGAAATCAACCGGTGGAAACGATTCTAAAAACACCCATGATTAAGGTCGATAACAAATCAAATTCACGAGCATTTAAAAGAACTGAAAAGCTTAATAAAAACCGTAGAGATCAGCTTGATGGACATTTAAAGTTATCAACTCCACCGAGTTTGGTGGCTCCAAAAGCGGCCCAGCTCCTTCAAATACCTTCGATAGCCAACAAGCAGTTTTCTTCGATGGAGAATTTGGATCAGAAAGTGATTAGGAGGTGGGTTCGTAATGAAAAATACTCGCACCATGGAAAAACGGGTGATCGTGGTGAAGATTATTGGAGTAGCGGGTTCCAGCGTGGTGCTTTGCGACTCTCGATCACGACCAAAAGGAAAAATGGCGCCAGGAATTCGTCCTTGTCCGAGGACGACAATAGAAGTGAGTACCAGTTCAACCGAAAAGGTTTCTGACCTGACCTGTCTCTGTTGTTACTTGCTAATATCGGTTCGGTCTTATTCTGTTTACCTACTAAGGTCCTATAACTTCTTTGCCTTTTTAAAGAGAGCTTTGTGCGAAAGGATCAGTTTAAATTCTGAAAAGTGTAATGACGTTGTAATACGCAAAAAGTAATATTTAGATTTATATAAATTGTTAACTCTTGGATAAATTTACTTTATTCCTATCAATAATCTTATTTTTCTGATTTAAGATTAAAAGTAAATCATTGACATTTTGGAAATGGTTTGTTGCCAACTTTCATAAAATTTTGTTGGGTATTAGAATGATTTGGAGAAGTGGCGTCTCAATATTATATTAGTTAAAATATAATAATTTCGCAGTTTAAATATTCTATTCCTTTGCAAATGATTTGAGATAAATTGAATTTGATTAATTGTACCAAAACTGTGTTAGAAACACGAAATTATATTTTTAACTGATGTGGTAAGTTCAAAAATTGAATTCGAAGGATAACAGTTTAAATAAAGTTTTTAATAGATATGATTTTAGGCGTATTTCTGTTTTCTCTAGGGTTATGATTTTTATACAGGGTGAGTTTTCTACGATGTTCTCTATGGGTATCTCGGAAATTACTGGAGATAGAGAGTCGGTTAAATGGGGAAAGAATTGCAGTTGTTTTGTGGGTTCATAAATTTGCGCCTTTCAGATTTTTGAAAAAGTTCATAGGTTACTAGATATTTCCAAAAAAAAACAATTTTGGCTATTTTAAAAATTGTCTCTAATTCCATTATAATCTATTTTAGACAAAAAGTTTTCAGATAAAAGTTGTAGATAATCACATCCCTAATGAGTTTTGTGTTCTCCGATTCTTTCTACAGCCTGTCATTTTTGACATATTATGAGAAATATGTTTTTTTAAATGGAAATCATAGTTGACCATGACTTCATAAAAAGCGTCATTTTTTAAGCTTTTCAGCTATATAAGCTATAATATGTTTTTTTCGAAAAATTACTGAGTTATAGCCAATTCTTATCTTTCTTGACTATAATTTCACTTAGTTGGCATGGTATTCTTATTCTGTTATAATTTATAACTTATAAAAAAACAGAATATATTATTAAACGGTTCTTTAAATACACTTTACACAAACTAAAACTTAAAAAAATAATATCACTACATACACTTTAAGTTATTTTCGAAAATGTTCAAACAATCTGCCATTGTTTTGAGTACATAACATCTTTTTAAAACTGAATTACTAGCTATTCTCACAGAACGACCAGTCGACTTTATAAAACTTCTACCGTACTACCTCTTCGAGTACCTCTCTTAATTCATAAGTTCTTTTGTAAATTTTGTTGTTAACCATACCGCATAAAAAAATCTAAAATGGATAGGTCAGGGGATCGAGGAGGCCCATGCAATTAGTCCACCTCTTCCTATCCCTAAGTTTGCAAGTTTAATAATTTTTAAATTTTTCTCATTATGGGCGGGGGCATAAAAAGGGAAAGTCATGTTGAAACCACTCTATTGATGCGCGAGTCTCTAAATTTAACTTTTCTAACATGTCTTGAAAGCCGTTCTCTAAAAAACGTAAGTAACGTTCACCGGTCAGCGTATTCTCAAAAATGTATGGCCAAGAAAAGTTAAAGCAATAATCCTACACGCGTCTCTTTATTTGAAAAATTCAATGTTTGTTTATTTTACAAAGTTTGGATGTGACAGTTTCACATTTCTGAGAGCAACGACGATTGAATTTGTTTCCATGGCTAACTAAGTGAAATTGTTTAAAAATGATAAGAATTGGTTATAACTCGTTAATTTTTCGAAAGAAACATATAACTTATATCGCTGAAAAGTTTAAAAAATGGCGTTTTTTATGAAGTCATGGTCAACTATGGTTTCCATTTAAAAAACATTTGTTTATGTTATATGTCAAAAATGACAGGCTGTACAAAAAATCGCAAACCACAAACTCATTAGGGATATAATTATCTACAACTTTTATCTGAAAACTTTTTGTCTAAAATAGATTGTAATGGAATTACGGACGATCTTTAAAATAGCCAAATTTTGTTTAACCTAACCTAACCAACATGAACTTCTTCAAAAATCTGAAAAGTGCATATTTATGACCTCACAAAACTGTAATTCTTTCCCCGTTTAACCGACTCTCTATCTTCAATAGTTTCCGAGATATCCATAGAGAACATCGTAGAAAACTCACCCCTGTATATATTCTGAATATAAATACTAAATCTCTACTAATAAACGAATGGTGAATTTATTATCAGTCGACTTTCACAAGTCTGTCTGTTCGTTGAATTCTGTACGTTTTCTGAGCCCTGCAAATATAAGGTTTGTCTGCATTTCATGCAAACTTGCATAATAATATTTAATATTAGCATATTTTGCAAGAAACTTTTCTTTTAATTAAAATGCGGTAGTATACTGGGTGGTGGTGCATCGTCGGCGTCGTTGGAAACATAAGAAACGCCATGCAAATTTTTATCTGTCCAAATATTGGCTCCCCTAAATTTTACAGCTAATATACCGAGAGCTGGCTACATAAAAAACCTTATCATCGTTACATGGCTAATTTTTTGTGTGAAGTATCCTTTTGTGTAGCCATTGTGAAATAGTCATGTCTGCCAGCGTGATCCCGAGGCTTAAAGCGAGGGCGGCCAATCGGAAGGGTGAAATTTTGACACTAAAATTATTATAAGGTACACGAGTTATAATTGCCAAATAGCTTTTATTTATTATTAGGAAACGTGTAACATTGTTGACAGACATTTTTCTTGTGGCTGAAATGCCGGCAGACAACGCGAAAGAGGCAAAGAATTTTGACAAAAGAAAATCATCGCATACATGCATGTCGGTTGGCGGAATGTCATGTTTATTGTTAATTAATTTAAAAAGCCGTATGCAAAAGGGCAGACAAAAAAATCGTTATTGAAATAATAAAAAAAATATATTTATAATATAATCGTATATTATATGATTTATCTATACTTAAATTGATGAGGCGGCCAGCAGCGTTCCCTGAATAAAGCGCTAGAGTAATATCGCGCTTTTGATAACTGTCTGCAGCTGATTGAGCCACGATCTTTTTATCTGCCCTTTTGCATACGGCTTTTAAAATTAATAAATATGACATTTCACCAATCGGCATGCAAATATGCCATAATTTTTTTCATTCTTCAAATTTCATTTTTTAATAATTTTTAAAATTTCATGCCTCTTTCGCGTTGTGTGTCGGCATTTTAGCGACTAGAAAAATGTCTGCCAACAATTTTCAACGTTTCTTAATAATAAATTAAAGCTATTTTCGCAATTATAACTGTATCTTATAATAGTTTTAGCGTCAAAATTTCACCCTTTCGATTGGCCGCCCCCGCTTTACGCCCCGGGATCGCGCTGGCAGACATGATTATTTCATAATGGCTACACAAAAGGATACTTCACACAAAAAATTAGCCATGTAACGATGATAAGGTTTTTTATGTAGCCAGCTCTTAGACTATAAAGCTGGATTTATAAACTCGGGAGTTGAGGTTCAGTTGAGGTTCAGTTGCCGTTCAAAATGTTCAACGCTATGAAATGAACGCGCGCATTTATAAAGTCAGTTGGTCGAAAAGTTGGCAGTTCGTTTTACGTTCAGCGGAGTTCAAAGATGGTCAATGTTTATGTCGGCAGTTGCGGGCAGTTGGCGACCGCTGGCGACGTTCGGCGACAGCCAATGAATAAGCGCCTGTCGATCACGTGAAGCACAGTACGCCGATGCATTGGAAAATGACCCTTATTGTTGTTTCATTATTTCTGTTAATGTGATCAGAGATGTGATGTTTATATTTTGCGTAATCGTGGATTACTGTGTTTGAACTTTGACAAATACCAGAAGTATTTTTAAATCGAAAGAAAAACGTTCGAAATTTTCATAATTCCAGACCTAACCTACAACCGAAACTGATTTTTGAAGTTTATAAATGCAAAAATATTGAACCTCAACTGCCGCGAACATCCAACTGCAACTGAACGCCAACTTCCGAGTTTATAAATCCAGCTTAAGTGGTAATAACTTTTTGAAAAGTCTGCGTATGCTGAATACACATGCCAAATTTGAACAATTTTGGAGAAGCCCTTTTTAACTAATTTAAGAACAAAACTTGATTCAGAACCTCGCAACTCGCAACTATTGGAATAAATTAATGGTTTCAATTACACGTTATACTTTTTAGTTGACTATCATTCAGAATGGTTAAAAAATACAATTAACATTAATAGAATATTCTAGCAACAGCTTGCGTTAGTCAATTGTATTCATAGAAACAGTCTAATAGTTAGCTTATAAAACAATCAACTTTTGATATCTAACAACAATTTCTCTTGACGGAAGATAATCAAAAGTCAAAATGACATTTCGCGCAAATTTTGAAGTATAATTAGTGGGAAAGTCAAAAGTTTGATAACTTTTTCTACTAATTGAGAATGTCTACCACTAATTTTGACGTTCTGAATGCTTACATTGAAATTAAAGGAACAAACTTCTACGCGAACTGAAACCACTAATTTATTCCACTAATTGCAAGGTTCTGAATGAAGCTTAACTGCATCTTTGTAAACTGAACCTTTAAAAACTTATTTACGATATTAAAAAATAAAATAAATATTATATAAGATATTAAAAAATATATTTAAAATGTAACTATTACTGTTGAGTGTTATAAATTTCTTGAATGCCATAAGGCCAGCAAATAAAATTACGAATAAGACCTTGACAAACCCTAAATATGCATGTTTTCTAGTTAAACATGATTTCCTTGCGTCTTTTAAAAGATAACCAACCGAACGAGTGACACAATCGTTTAAAAGACCGCTATTTTATGGTTCTTTAAATTTTAAACTTGAGTTTAGAATATGTATCATCAAAAGACAGATTCCCCATTAAAAAGAATAATTGATTTGACAGGTCTTC